TTCATCCCAAGCGAACATAACCTAAATTATAAAATAGAAATATTTTTAATTAACGCTTTTTTTTGACATTTTCATTTAAGAAATGAAACATCGTTTAAAATGAGTCCAAACTCGATGGGGTTATCTTTAAAAGTAAGAAAGATAACCTAAAAACCTATCCGCCATTTTGAAAAATTTGTATGAATTAACCCCATCAAGTTTGGTGTCATTTTAAAGGATTTTAGTTGTAGATTACGAATTTTAACTTAAATAGAAAAAAAAAAAATTTTAATTTATCCAAAACGAATATAACCTAAATGATAAAATTGACATATTTTTAATTAACACTTTTTTCTTGACATTTTCTTTTAAGAAATGAAAAGTCGTTTAAAATGAGTCCAAACTCGATGAGGTTATCTTTAAAAATAAAAAAGGTAACCTAAAAACCTATCCGCCATTTTGAAAAATTTGTATGAGGTAACNTTAAGTTTTTTCCGAACATTTTATTCTGTTTTTGAATGTTAACAACAATTTTTTTTAATTTTTTCGTAAAAATTCGTAATCTACATAAAAAATCCTTTAAAATGAGCCCAAACTCGATGGGGTTATCTTTAAAAATAAGAAAGATAACCTAAAAATATATCCGCCATTTTGAAAAATTTGTATGAGTTAACCCCATCGAATTTGGTGTCATTTTAAACGATTTTCGTTGCAAATTACGAATTTTAACTTAAATATACAAAAAAGAAATTTTCAACTCATCCCAAACGAACATAACCTAAGTTATAAAATTGACATATTTTTAATTAAAACTTTTTTATTGTCTTTTTCATTTAAAGAATGAAAAATCTTTTAAAATGAGTCCAAACTCGATGGGGTTATCTTTAAAAATAAGGAAGATAACCTAAAAACCTATCCGCCATTTTGAAAAATTTGTATGAATTAACCCCATCGAGTTTGGTGTCATTTTAAATGATTTTTGTTGCAAATTACGAATTTTAACTTAAATATACAAAAAAGAAATTTTCAATTCATCCCAAACGAACATAACCTAAGTTATAAAATTGAAATATTTTTAATTAACACTTTTTTATTGACTTTTTCATTTAAGAAATGAAAAATAGGTTAAAATGAGTCCAAACTCGATGGGGTTATCTTTAAAAATAAGAAAGATAACCTAAAAACCTATCCGCCATTTTGAAAATACTGTTTGAGTTGATTTAGAAATAACCTCATCGAATTTGGTGTCATTTTAAAGGATTTTAGTTATAGATTACGAATTTTAACTTAAAAAAAAAAAAAAATTAATTTATCCAAAACGAACATAACCTAAGTTATAAAATTGAAATATTTTTAATTAACACTTTTTTCTTGACATTTTCATTTAAGAAATGAAAAATCGATTAAAATGAGTCCAAACTCGATGAGGTTATCTTTAAAAATAAGAAAGTTAACCTAAAAACCTATCCGCCATTTTGAAAATTTTGTGTGAGTTGATTTTGAGATAACCCCATCGAGTTTGGTGTCATTTTAAAGGATTTTTGATGTAGATTACGAATTTTAACTTAAATAAAACAAAAAAGAAATTTTTAATTTATCCAAAACGAACATAACCTAACTGATAAAATTGACATATTTTTAATTAACGCTTTTTTCTTGACATTTTCATTTAAGAAATGAAAAATCGATTAAAATGAGTCTAATCTCGGTGAGGTTATCTTTAAAAATAAGAAAGTTAACCTAAAAACCTATCCGCCATTTTGAAAATTTTGTGTGAGTTGATTTTGAGATAACCCCATCGAGTTTGGTGTCATTTTAAAGGATTTTTGATGTAAATTACGAATCTTAACTTAAATAAAACAAAAAAGAAATTTTTAATTTATCCAAAACGAACATAACCTAACTGATAAAATTGACATATTTTTAATTAACGCTTTTTTCTTGACATTTTCATTTAAGAAATGAAAAATCGATTAAAATGAGTCTAATCTCGGTGAGGTTATCTTTAAAAATAAGAAAGTTAACCTAAAAACCTATCCGCCATTTTGAAAATTTTGTGTGAGTTGATTTTGAGATAACCCCATCGAGTTTGGTGTCATTTTAAAGGATTTTTGTTGTAGATTACGAATTTTAACTTGAAATAAAAAAAAATGTATCCCAAACGAACATAACCTAAATGATAAAATTGAAATATTTTTAATTAACACTTTTTTATTGACATTTTCATTTAAGAAATGAAAAATCGTTTAAAATGACACTAAACTCGATGGGGTTATCTTTAAAAATAAAAAAGGTAACCTAAAAACCTATCCGCCATTTTGAAAATGTTGTTTGAGTTGATTTTGAGATAATCCTATCGAGTTTGGTGTCATTTTAACGGATTTTTTTAATAGATTACGAATTTTAACTTAAAATCAGAAAAAAATCACTTTTATCCTAAACAATCATAAACTAAATTATGTAATTAAAATATTTTTAATCATTTCATGGTTGATATTTTCATTTAAAGCACAAGAAATTGTTTAAAATGAGTCCAAACTCGGTGAGGTTACCTTTAAAAGTAAGAAAGATAACCTAAAAACCTAGCCGCCATTTTGAAAATTCTGTTTGAGTTGATTTTGAGATAATCCCATCGAGTTTGGTGTCATTTTAAAGGATTTTTGTTATAGATTACGAATTTTAAATTAAAATCAGAAAAAAATCACTTTTCTCCAAACGAATATAACCTAAATGATGAAATTAAAACATTTTTAATCATTTCATGGTTGATACCTTCGTTTAAGTCATAAAAAATCGTTTAAAATGAGTCTAAACTCGGTGAGGTTATCATTAAAAATAAAAAAGTTAACCTAAAAACTTATCCGCCATTTTGAAAATTTTGTGTGAGTTGATTTTGAGATAACCCCATCGAGTTTGGTGTCATTTTAAAGGATTTTTGATGTAGATTACGAATTTTAAATCAAAATCAGAAAAAAATCACTTTTCTCCTAAACGAACATAACCTAAATGATGAAATTAAAATATTTTTAATCATTTTATGGTTAATACCTTTATTTAAGGCATAAAAAATCGTCTAAAATGAGTCCAAACTCGATGAGGTTATCTTTCTTACTTATAAAGAAAGATAACCTAAAAACCTATCCGCCATTTTGAAAAATTGTTTGAGTTGATTTTGAGATAACCCCATCGAGTTTGGTGTCATTTTAAAGGATTTTTGTTGTAGATTACGAATTTTAAATTAAAATCAGAAAAAAGTCACTTTTCTGCTAAACGAATATAACCTAAATGATGAAATTAAAATATTTTTAATCATATCATGGTTGACATTTTAATTTAGGACATAAAAAATCGGTTAAAATGAGTCCAAACTCGATGAGGTTTTCTTTAAAAATAAGAGAGATAACCTAAAAACCTATCCGCCATTTTGAAAATTTTGTTTGAGTAGATTTTGAGATAACCCCATCGAGTTTGGTGTCATTTTAAAGGATTTTTGATGTAGATTACGAATTTTAAGTTAAAATCTGAAAAAAATCATTTTTATCCTAAACGAATATAACCTAAATGATAAAATTGAAATATTTTTAATCATATTATGGTTGACATTTTCAGTTAAGACATAAAAAATCGGTTAAAATGAGTCCAAACTCGATGAGGTTATCTTTAATAGTAAAAGAGATAACCTAAAAACCTATCCGTCATTTTGAAAATTTTGTTTGAGTTGATTTTGAGATAACCCCATCGAGTTTGGTGTCATTTTAAAGGATTTTTGATGTAGATTACGAATTTTAAGTTAAAATTAGAAAAAACTTATTTTTATCCTAAACGAATATAACCTAAATGATGAAATTAAAATATTTTTAATCATTTCATGGTTGACATTTTCATTTAAGACATAAAAAATCGGTTAAAATGAGTCCAAACTCGATGAGGTTATCTTTAATAGTAAGAAAGATAACCTAAAAGCCTATCCGCCATTTTGAAAATTTTGTTTGAGTTGATTTTGAGATAACCACGTCGAGTTTGGTGTCATTTTAAAGCATTTTTGTTACAGATTACGAATTTATTATAAAAATAAAAAATTAACCTATAAACTTAGCCGCCATTTTGAAAAAAAAAAATGATTTTTGAGACAACCCCATCGAGTTTGGTGTCATTTTAAAGCATTTTTGTTATAGATTACGAATTTATTATAAAAATAAAAAGTTAACCTATAAACTTAGCCGCCATTTTGAAAAAGAAATGGTTTTTGACACAACCCCATCGAGTTTGGTGTCATTTTAAAGCATTTTTGTTATAGGTTACGAATTTATTATAAAAATAAAAAGTTAACCTATAAATTTAGCCGCCATTTTGACAAAAAAAATGGTTTTTGAGATAACCCCATCGAGTTTGGTATCATTTTAAAGCATTTTTGTTATAGATTACGAATTTATTATAAAAATAAAAAGTTAACCTATAAATTTAGATGCCATTTTGAAAAAAAATGGTTTTTAAGACAACCCCATCGAGTTTGGTGTCATTTTAAAGGATTTTTGACCAAGATTACGAATTTTAACTTAAAAATCAAAAAAAAATGTTTTTAATTTATTCTTTAGATCTCCTTTTTTGAGTGGCTTGCAAAGAAAATGAGTTTGTACACGATTTAAAAGACTTCATTTTTTTCTTTTTCTCTTTGAGTTCCTTTTTAAAGGTGTACTGGGTCGAAGTAGGTCGGGGGTGAAAAGGTCGCGTTAATACTTAAAGCCATCGCTTAAAAAAAAATCTTTTCTTTAACTTTAAAAGTTTTTTATTCCGCGTTATAAATAATTTCGAATCAAAAATATAATAATTTTCACCGGGATCGGTTTGGTTTTAAAATAGTTTTAAGGCGTGCCTTAATTTTCGAGATCTCGAGATCTCAAAACTCAATTGGAGGAAGAAAACTTTGGGCGTGGTGCTTTCGAAAACGTTAAAAGCGATTTTAGGCCTTCTTAAACACTCTTCGAACTCTCCGAAAACATCCCCACTATAATAAAAACGTCTTTCAGCCAACTGCTCTCATCTTTCAGCAAGGTTTCAGTTAACGTTCATTTCAGTTCACGATTTACTCTCTCACTCAAAGTCAAATTCAAATTCAAACCAAAAAAATGAACGTAAAAAAGTCGCTAAATTTCTCGTATCATCAAACCAATTTTCAAATCAATCGCGATTTAGTTGTTAAATCGAAACTGTTAAAAATCGACACCGGATACGGGAGTGCTGAAAGTTCTTTGGATAGCGGCGATGAGGAGAAGGATCACATTTTGGAACCTCAATTAGCCGGCTCGAATTGCGTGGAAAGAAAGTGTTTGACGTGGGCGTGCAAAGCTTGTAAACGCAAAACCGTTTCGATCGATCGAAGAAAAGCGGCCACTTTACGCGAAAGGCGACGATTAAGGAAGGTTAATGAAGCTTTTGAGCTTTTAAAGCGACGAACGTGCAATAATCCGGGTCAAAGATTACCAAAAGTTGAAATTTTAAGGAGCGCCATTGAGTATATTGAGTATTTAGAGGAAGTTTTGCAAGGAACTAAAGCTAGTATTGAATCAAATTCAAATTATTTGGTGAGTAAATTTTAATCAACATCTGCTCATCATCTGGTTTTTGTAAACTGATCCAGTTTAGCGGGAGACAATCTCTTATTCATTTTGTGATTTTGAATCGTTAATTTTAACATCACTACATCGTTAATACCATCCAATTAGTTCCTTTTAAAACAACGTAAATCACTTTAACGTTATTTCTCGTTCCGTACGAGTTGTTGATTGAAGTATTTCCTCCGTTTTAAAGACTACCAAAAGGAAACATTCTGTACATAAGTTTCGGACAACAACTTGGACCAGATCCAGGTTTTCTAAACACTTTATTCTCCGTCTGTGTCAAGATAGGTGCGTGTGTGTGCGTCGGTCTCTGTGTACGTACGTCGTCTTATTAATCGGTACAACGGGACCAACTTCTCTTTCATAATAATATTAATCCATGCCAAATTTACGACCAAGAGACGTTTTATTGTGTCTGGCTACTTCGAGGATGGAAATAGAATCTCGGAGACTCTTTTTTTTTTCGTTTCGTTTAAAAGGAACGCAAACAATTTTGATTTCGAAATAGTATCTGTAATTTTTTTAATTGTTTCTCACATTCTTAACCTAAAGGAGTCGTAGTATGCGTTCGTATCCTGCAATTACGACACTTGTGGATAAAATGTGATTGAAGTAGCGTCTCGGTCGCAAACGACCTTGAACTTAAGATAATGCATCATAATTTTGTTGCATAATCTATTTTTACCCACGCAACAAATATATATCTGGACCTCAGAACCAAACAGTATTAAGTCACATTCTTTAAATTTTACAGGAGAGCAATTTGAAGATTTTGAACAAATTTTTCAAACCGATTACTATTGTAAATAGGTTTTTATTTTCCCTGTTATGATTTTGGAAGCTAACTAAAGCAGATAATAACCAACGTCCTACATTAATTTATTGAAATAATTTTAAATTAATTGTGGGACTTAATACTGTTTGGTTCTAACAATGGACTTAATACTCTATTTTGTGACTTAATACTGTATAGCTCCTACGAATTTATAGATACGTGGGACTTGATACTGAATTATTATTAAGAAACTCATAGTAGAACAATCCAAAGTAGAATTAAAATGAATTAATACCAATTATGACTAATTAATAAAGGGTTACAAAAGAAAATAAGCAATAAGGGTCATTGCATTTTTCAGTCGTCTTCCTTGAGGTTACTATGTGGAAGATTTTTAAAGTATTTATGGAATCTTTTAGGCACCCATGTTAGTAACTTCTGCAAATCATTATACTTTTTAGTTGAAATAGGTTTTAGTGTCTCTCTTATTGGTTTCAGTAGCATTAAATTATTATCACTGAGAACAACTTCCTTAGAATTAAAGGTGCCTCGATTAAAATCAACTTGTTCAAAACTTTCTTGATTAAAATCTGTTTTAAAATACAAAACTTCAGGTGTTTCATTAAAAACTTCATATGAACCACTTTAGATATCAAAAAGTTTTGATTATTTATGGTTTTTTTGTTATTGTGAAAGTAAGCTCCGGATTTTTCAGATAAAAGGGTAAAATTTTTAAAGTCCATGGTTTCCATTTCCACTACTTCAATATTGTTACCACAAAGTCTGAAAAGCTGCTGCCAATCCCATGGAGTTATTACAGAAAATTGGGGTGAAGCTTTCTTTCGTGCATGAATTGTATCTACCTCCATGTGCGTATGTTCTCGTAAAAGGTACTTGTGTTCAATGCATTTTATGGAAGGCTTCAGCATAATAATCGAAAGATAGCACATAATCATCTGAAGATTTCTGTTTTGTGATGGACAGTTATCGCTCCAGATAATAATTTTCTCTATTGATTCTTTTACATGTAAATTAATGTATTTCAGAATACATGAAGCCATTTCATTTCCACCACGTCCGGCAATAGATTCATCCCAGGTGAAGCAATATCCTATTTTGTCTGTTGCATCATAGACTGTATAATTAAATGTCCATAGCTTTAGAGAATAGAAACTCTGAGCATTCGTTAGTAGAGGAGTGGGTAAGCATTTTTGTAAATCCACCGAAAGTATCTTCTTTCTTTAGTTGATACCGATTATCGGCATCACGAAGATGTGTGTCATAGTTAGTTTGTAATTCAAGGCGTTCCTCCAGAGATACAAACTCTTTGAGTTTAATAATATATCAATCACATGTGTCACATGTATCATTCGCTGGCTCTTTGAAGGATAAATTAAATTCCGAATTGAAAATCTCATTATATAGCCACTGCTTGGTGATATCTTCTTTAAGAATTTGGTTTTCTACGCAATCTTCATAGAAGCACCGATACATTATTGAAATGTTGAGATGGCTGCCTAAATATTTTCTCTGGGATTTATTCCTGGAATAATGTGATTCTATACACGGAAACTTCTGTATGTGCTCCCTGATATTGTTTCTTACATTTGAGGCAATTTTGTTTGAGGGTTCATGTTTACCCCTTTGGTCGGGTATTACGATACCACCAAGTTGTCTTTTCGATAACGCATTACGTACAGAGGTTTGGGATATATTTAAGGTGTTAAGAAAATAAGTACGGCACACACTAAACTTCTTACCATCTACACTAAAAAAATACTTCAACGACGTTTTTCTTTTACCAGCACGAGATCCCGTTCTAGCACGTACACGCTCAACTGGAACTTCTTCTATGCAGCTAGCTATAAATTGTCTTTTCTGGTCAAGTTCGATGATACCATTCCAAAATTGTGAGTGAATTAGAGCACGACTCTCAACTGATATGTTCTGCTTGCACTGCTTTTTACATTCATCAGGACAAGGTGCTTTCATTTCTTTTTTTGCAGTAAGCTTATTGGTGGCTGACAGATATTCTTCACCAGCAGCTCTCCTTTGCTTTCTAATGTTTTTCTTCCAATTAACGGAATTTCTTTTTCTTTTCTTTCCCTTAGTTTCTCGGATTTCTACAGCTCCTTCCTCTTGTTCTTCTTCCAGTTCTTTTGTATCACTATTTTCCTCAGGTAGATAAGGTGGGACTTCAGATTCAATATTATAGTCTTCTTTGTGTTGTAAATTATTTGCGTCTACTTCATCTGCTTTATAGTGAGGTCCATCGTCATTATTTTGAATAATAATATTTTGTAGAATATTAATTTTAGAAGGTTTCTCGAATTCGTCATTTTTATCTTCATTCCTATTGCCTTGAACAAAATGCTCTGGTGAGCTTTCTGCTGGCTGAGACTCGTCTGTATTATCTCGTAGGATATCTTCGGTATTGGAAAAAGGCACATTATTTTTACTAACAAAGATGGTATTGTACACATTGTTATTCAAAAAAATAACTTCCTCTGCAGCATTGCCATAACCGGTTGCAAGAATTTTCTCTTATTCTTAAGAATAAATTATCTTATTTACCGTTCTCTTCAGCCAAAAGTGAGGTTATAACAAGTTTTTCAGATATTTCGTTGCACTTGGCTTGTGCTAGTGTCATTTGTGATATCTTTTGGCCCCTTGAAGACATCATGTTGACCCTATTCACTTATTAAATATTAAAACTATAAAATTATCAAGTATTTCTTGTTAACTTCATGAACAAAATAATGTGGCTTAATATTATGACAACTGATGTACACTAAAACAAAACAGTATTAAGTCCAATCACCTAACCTCACATTTGGACTTAATAGCTAAATACTGGATATCTTCCAGAGCCAAACAGTATCAAAAACCTTTAATACTGTTTGGTTCTATTTAATACAGGACTTAATATCAATAATCTACACCTATCTCGTAAACGGGAAGAAACTGGACTTAATACGCGTCGTCAATGGAAAGAGCGGAAACAAATACTATAGGAACAATCATAACCTCAAAAACGATCAAAAACGAAAAAAATGGACTTAATACTGTTTGGCTCTGAGGTCCAGATATATTGTTGATATCTTCCTTATTATTAGAGATTTGACACCATTTGAAAGATGCTCTATGTAAAAAATACTTGTGCAAACGAGCGATTGTGGCGTGTTATACACCATTAGAAAGAGCAGAAAATTTCCGATAAGATAGATGTAGTTGTAGAGTTTTCTCCTGGTCATATAAGAAAGTTATCGACCCGAACAAGGTTTAAAACTGGCTAAAAGTATGAATTTGGTAGTTTTTGGCAAAAGCTTACTTGTGCAAGCGCGTGGTCGAAGCGTGTTATACACCATTAGAAAGAGCAGAAAATTTTTGATAAGATAGATGTAGTTGTCGAGTTTTTTCTTGGTCATATAAAAAAGTTATAGACCCGAACAAGGTTTAAAACTGGCTAAAAGTGTGAATTTAGTAGCTTTTGGCAAAAATCTCCTTGTGCAAGCGCGTGATCGAAGCGTGTTATATACCATTAGAAAGAGCAGAAAATTTTCGATAAGATAGATGTAGTTGTAGAGTTTTCTCCTAGTCATATAAGAAAGTTATCAACCCGAACAAGGTTTAAAACTGGCTAAAAGTGTGAATTCTATAGTTTTTTTCCAAAAACTTACTTGTGCAAGCGTGTCTTAGACACCATTAGAAAGAGCAGAAAATTTCCAATAAGATGGATGTAGTTGTAGAGTTTTTTCTTGGTCATATAAGAAAGTTATCGACCCGAACAAGGTTTAAAACTGGCTAAAAGTGTGAATTTAGTAGATTTTGGCAAAAACTTACTTGTACAAGCGCGTGATCAAAGCGTGTTATACACCATTAGAAAGAGCAGAAAATTTTCGATAAGATAGATGTAGTTGTAGAGTTTTCTCCTGGTCATATAAGAAAGTTATCGACCCGAACAAGGTTTAAAACTGGCTAAAAGTGTAATTTAGTAGCTTTTGGCAAAAACTTACTTGTGCAAGTGTGTGATCGAAGCGTATTAGACACCATTAGAAAGATATGTTAGAAAGACACCATAGATATGATTCTAAAGTTTTCTCCTGATCATATAAGAAAGTTATTGACCCGAACAATTTTTAAAAGTGGCTAAAACTGATGAATTTCGTTTTTGATTAAAAACGTGCTT